GCGAATATAAAACTAAATATACATTTTTCTTCGTATTTCACAATATATTTTAATTTTTATTGATAAATTTAGGTAGTTTTTAATGAAATGGATAAAGTGCCATTGTTACTAGATTTTGGAGATGAGGCAATGTAAGATTTTTTTACTAAACCAGTTTTGTATTCTTTATTTAATTTAAAAATGCTTATAATCAAGAGGTCTTTGGATATTGACAGATAAAAGATTCCCACAGAAGATTTCATGATATCGAATTTCGTTCTCAGAATCCAAAGCCAGCTTGATTATAAAAAAATAAGCTTAAATCTTATTTTATTGATATTCGATAATTGTTTTAAATTATATGTACTCACATGCTAAAACACTGTACTGTACAGGGTGGACCATTTTAGTTGTTTCTATAGGGTATCTAGGAAACCGTAAGAAATATTCAAATTTTGATACTGCAGTCTCGGGTTCTTTTTTTGAAAAAATCACAATGGCTCAAACAGATCGTGGCTATCTTGATCGGTTTCGAAGCTACAGGGGGATTCTCAAATTTTGTACTTTTTGAAGATGTTCGATAGTTTGTTTATTTCAACAACTACGCAAAAATGAATTAAACATTCTAAAGGCACTTTTCTGTGTAGAATGCAGTGGCGTAGTCAGACTTTTTTCGAAAAAAATATTTTTTTAGATATTAACTATACTTGTGTTTTTTAAATACAACCCCCTGTATATTTTTAAATTTCCTGATTCAGTTTGGCATGGGTTTCTCGAAAATATATAACACTATATATTTATTTTCACTATTAACTTTAAAAATCCAATTTATTTAAAGATATTGACATTCCTCTTGGTAGGTCATGCCGAGTATTAAAGGAAACAAGCAAATATCTACTTTCAAATTAATCCGTGTATTAGCAATTAAATAAATTCGAACAATACGAAGCAAATAAAAAATAAGTGTGACAGAAACAAAAGAACATATTTTAATACAAACTCAACAGGTTACTTCAATTGGGCTTAGTTAATATAAAAAATAAAAACACAAAGACTACATTAAATGTTCAAACTGCTGCTCATTATTATCTAGACGGAGTCTCTTCTAATGTTCTATTTGCATTTCGATAAATTTCGTTTTTCAGAAAGCCTCAGAGAAAGAAGTCCAAGGGATTGATATCAGGTGACCTAGGTGGCTAGGATTAAACTATTTTCTGACCTTTTAAAAATGGCTGGGTTTGACTGCCCGCGCTAAAAATATAAATCAGCTGCCATTTGCTTATGTTTGTTAGACTCAATATAACAGTCTAACAAATTATATTTCTCAAAATGTTCAAATTTACTCATTTTTTTTATTATTTAAAATACACACACTTCAATCTATTGAAATTAAATGTCACGCATCCATCAAAGGTATGTCCCGATCACCATGACAACCGTTTACTTTGTTACTCGTCGCGGCCTACTTCTAACTGGATATTTTAAGAAAAATTTGAAATGTTGAGGTTAATAGTAGCGATGGGAACTATCGAATGAATTAGACTATCGAATGGTTACTGAATGAATGATTTCAACTATCGAATATGGTTTTATTCGAATAAAATCATTCATTCATTTGTATACTAAAGCATATGTGACAACCTCGCCGTGCCACTAAATGGTTATCGTTGAGCCACGACTATCGATGAATGCTTTTGATAAATGAAATTGAAATTTAGTATCCGTTTGATTTTTGTGTGCGTCAGTGCATTATTAGTTCTTCCAAATTTTTATAACTTCGCCGTATAAATACTGTGCTATTTTAGCGTTTATTAAAATATTTAAAATACTAAAATAGTATTTTTTTTTTAATTGACGATTGTGTCCGTTACAGGTGGGCAACATTTTTCCGAAAATTTTTGTGATTTTACGTAGCCCGATATTTTTTAATGGAAAATTTTGACAAGTAGCAATCTTTAAGAGAGATGAGATGAACTTACAATTAATTTTAAAAATAGATATTTGTATTTTAGATGTTTTAATAATATGAATTAGTTGAACTTATAATAATCATATTTAAGTAATGTGGTTAAGTAAATGGGGGGTTATCGAACTCAAACTATGGGGTGAGAAAATTAAATTGAAAGTTTTACACGTGCCAATTTTAAAAAAAAGTTAACGATGTTTGTATTTTGTTTATGCTAATTCTCTTACATGTAGTTTTTTGCGAAGAAATATTTCATTTTTTTTTAAGTAAATGCCATTAAAAGTAAGTAATATTATTTTTAAATAGTAATATAAAGCACCTAATATAAATAATTTTGATTTCTAATTTTTTATTTATATTTTCCTTCCATTACACTGCATTCTTAGAAAATTAATAAATGTTGATATTTCATGATTTTAAAATTTGTTGTTAATATAACAAATTAGTTCTGTAATTATTATTATTTAAAAAACAACCGTTGCCAAAAAATTTAGAGTCTATATTATTTTTAAATAGAATCTAATATAAATAATTTTGACATCTAATTTGTTGTTTATATTTTGCCATTACTTAAAAAAAAATTATATTAAATGATTTTAAATTTTGTCGTTAGTAGGTATAACAAATTATTACTGTTATTATTATTTATTAAACCAGTCTTTGCTTAAAAACATTAAAAATCATTTTCCTACATCCAAAATAACGTATTATTATTATATATATTTATATATATATAATATATTATTATAAAGTATTATTGCAGTGTAACAACAGAATATTAATAAAAAAAATGCAAAATATATAGACATACTATCCCTAACTAACTAAAATATGGCAACAGCGCCCAACCTCAATAAAAAAAATAATGTCAAACCTCAATAAAAAAAATAATGTGTCCTTATCTTTATCTACTCCGCAAAAAATCAAAGATGCCGCCGTCTTTCATAGCATTGTCACTGACTGCTGTCGGGTTTCTCGGAAAGAAACCTACGTCGCCGGGCGACAACTAAAATCCAGTTAATATTTTAATATAATCGATCCTGACGAATAAATGAATTTCATAAATGAATGAGTTTTATAAATGAATGGTTTTTGCTGCCGAATTACTAGAATACAATATTTCAAGGCAGATGACGCGTCTATTCGATAATTTTTATTCGAATAGTTTTCAACGAATGTTTTCTTACTAGCTATCGAATTATTCGAATGAATTGCAACTATCGAATGTTTCGATAGTATTCATTCGATAGTTCCTACTACTAGTTAATAGTGAAAATAAATATAGAGTGTTATATATTTTCGAGAAGCCCATGCCAAGCTGAATCAGGAAATTTAAAAATATACAGGGGGTTCTATTTAAAAAAACAGAAGTATAGTTACTATCTAATAAAATTTTTTTTTTCGCAAAAAGTCTGACTACGTCACTGCATTCTACACAGAAAAGTGTCTTTAGAATGTATAATTCATTTTTGCGTAGTTGCTGAAATAAACAAACTATCGAACATCTTCAAAAAGTACAAAATTTGAGAATCCTCCTGTAGTTTCGAAACCTTAGTTCGAAACCGATCAAGATAGCCACGATCCGTTTGCGGCATTGTGATTTTTTCAAAAAAAGAACCCGAGACTGCAGCATCAAAATTTGAATATTTCTTACGGTTTCCTAGATACCCTATAGAAACAACCAAAATGGTCCACCCTGTACAGTGTTTTAGCATTTTCTTTTGTCCCACTTTTATCAGACTTTAAATCTCTTATTTTTTTACTTAGAATGAATTGTAACGTTTTTAGTCCAGTTTTTGCGTTACTAAAAATAGTTACTCTGTCAAATATCACAGTTATTGTTATAAACTATTTTTGTTTTATTCGCCTTGTATATTAGAAGTATATTTAGTTATCACGAGCATATACCACACATGCATTATCTTTTTAATAGTTTATGGAAATTTGATAAAAGTATACAAATGTTTATAAATTTCCAGTTACACGTGCAAGTAAATTTTAGTTTTTATTAAATTCAATTAAAACTAATAAAAAGAAAAGGCACGTGTGAAATATTTTTGAAATCAGAAAAAATATATCTAATACTTTTCTTATATAATATAGGGTGTCCCATTTAACATTCTAGTCTACATTAAGTTAAGAACTCCTCAATATCTCTCTATTTAACGGTCTTCCTGGAACTGTTCGCCTTGCTTACTATAAACATATTAAAAACACCAACCAGTGGACGAATTTTACCACGATACTGATGGTATTAATTTGTTATTAGTTTAAATTTTGAGTTTTGTATTTTTCTTTCTTTATCTGTATTTTTTTTGTTAAGTTAGGTTAGGTTATGTTGCTGGGGTTTGGGATCATGTTTGATCTCTCACTCGGAGGCGTCGGGCCCATTCCGATACCCCTGCATTGTTGTACAAGCCTTCCTCTTATAATTTCTTTGCATTAAAGCACTTCCAGCTCTTTGAAAAGTTCCCAATGTCGCTGATGTTGTATTCTGCTGCTTACTCTAGCCCCCCAAATTTTTTGTTTCCTTAGCAAATACAAGTGTCTTCCCTTCCAGCTTTCAGAGCAGATTCCATGATTCCACTGATCGTTTGCAAGTCTTTGCCAACGATCAGTATTACCACGTCGTTTGAGTATGTCTTATCCTAATTCCCTTCATTGTCAGAGAGGTCAGGATCGGGTCATTACAATCAGCCACAGCAGAGGTTATTTCCCTGGACGGCTTGTGGTTATCAGGTTCTTTCCCAGTATGTATATTTTTACTAGACATATATCATAGGATTTATAAGCCCTGCAGAGTTTATACATTTTGTAGGGACCAGTTAGACCTGCTATAATATTCTGAAACCCTAAAATGCCTTTTACTATATTGATTGAGAGAATATACGATTTTGACATTCTACTTCCAATTCATGTTAAATAAACAATGTATTTTTGAATTAAAATGACAGATAATAATTGTCACTGTCATTTATTCTTTCACTGGAGAGACTATATACTTATATTCCACGCCATGTTAGAAATGATTACTATATTTTTATATAATTTCTAGGACCACTTCAGATTCATTAGGATTCGAACCACTAATAAATCAAACAAGTGCAGAAAATGAATTCATTGTGTCGTCTACAGGGGATTGTAAAGAAATTACCAATAACGAAGAAAGTATTCCAGGAGACCATTACGAATCTAAAGCAGTTCTTTTAATTGTTACTGGAATGACATGTCAATCTTGCGTTAGAACGATAGAAGATGGCATCGGAAAAAGAAATGGCATACTCAGTGCAAAGGTTAGCTAACATTATTTTATTAAGCGTTAAGCTTCATTCCGAACCTCCCAATTAGTGGAATAAATTATTGGTTTCAATTACGCTTTATACTTTTTAGTTTACGATCATTCACAACGTCTAAAAAACACAATTAAAATTGATAAAATATCCTAGCAACAGCTTGAGGTAGTCTGTTGTATCTATAGAGAAAGCATAATATTTAGCTTATAAAAGTTATAAAACAATAAACTTTTGATTTCTAACCATCCTTTCATGCATAGTATTCATGCATGGTGGGCGGAAAAAGCTCTCTAGGGTGGGGATCCTTGACAGTTCTGTTGGACGATTCATTTGACACATTTGAATTTGATTTAAAATTTTGTGGATTTGTCAGTCTTTACGGAGCTTATTTTATGTTATTTATTATTTATTCTACTACTGATAGTTGTATAAAGGTAGTAAATCTAGATGGAAATTGTGGCAGAACTTAAATTAACAGTGACATTATCGCGATTTGTCGAAAAAGACTCTAAAATAGTTGGTTGTGTAGCGTGCGGTAGATCTCGGCAAAAATTGAGTGAAATAATGGAGCAACTTTTCGCTAGTAAGTGACTATATAATATACATACGTGTAGTAAACCGATCATTTATGAAATTCACTTAAATTAACTAAATTATATATTTTCTTGCATTTTAGCTTTTATTTACTACTTGTCAAAGATCAGATGTCAAAGAATTTTGATCGTTAATTTGACTTACCTGCTTCAGTAGCGTATCGGATGTTTGTGTTAATAAATACTTATTATAACTTATCTATTTTTATTAGAATTATATATTTTTATAACAATTTTAATAACTACCAACATTTATTCACAACGTAAAATAAAACAACAAATTATTGAGTCTACCCCACGTCTACCCTACATCATAGTTTTACATTTTTTAAATAAAATTAGAACGGCACTGATAAACCGGAATTTAAGTCGGCCATATTTGCCCATCGCGGTGTACCTAAGATTTTTGATATGCTCCTTCCTTAGTCGTCTTATTCAAAGTAACCATCTAACCAAAATTTTTCTTGACGGGTGATAATCAAAGGCCAAAATAACATTCCTCGCAAATTTTGAGTATAATTAGTAGAAAAGTCAAAAGTTTGTTAACTTTTTCCAATTATTGAAAATTACTGCCACTAATTATGACGTTCTGAATGCTTACATTAAAATTAGGTGAACAAACTTCTACGACTACTTGAAACCACTAATTTATTCCACTGATTTCAAGGTTCTGAATGAATCTTTATACTGTTAACATTTAATACAGGGTGAGTTTCCTACTATGTTCTCTGTGGGTATCTCGGAAACTACTGGACATAGAGAGTCGGTTAAATGGGGAAAGAATTGCAGTTTTGTGGGTTCATAAATATGCGTCTTTCAGATTTTTGAAGAAGTTCATAGCTTTACTAGATATTTAAAAAAAAAAACGAATTTTGGCTATTTTAAAAATTGTCCCTAATTCCATTTTCCACTATTTTAGACAAAAAGTTGTAGATAATCACATCTCTAATGAGTTTGTTTTCTCCGATTTTTTCTAACGCCATTTTTCTCTGTCATTTTTGACATATGACACAGACATGTTTTTTTAAATGGAAAATATAGTTGGCCATGAATTCATAAAAAGCGCCATTTTTAAGCTTTTTAGCGATATAAGCTATAATATATTTTTTTACTGAGTTATAGCCAATTCTTATCTTTCTTGACTAATTTCACTTAGTTGGTATGGTATTCTTATTCTGTTATGATTTATAACTTATAAAAAGTCAATATGTACAGGGTATGTATATTATTAAACGGTTCTTTACAATTTACATTACACCAACTAAAACTTAAAAAAAAGAATATCACTATAGTCTGTCCAACGAGAAGATCCTTGACAGTGATAGATGTGTCTGTCATTTTAATTTCAAAGTAGTTTATTTTATTTTACAAAGAAATAAGTTGGTACAACTGGAACGCATAGCAGGAAATATTTAAAATTTGATTGACACGATGACAAGTGATTACTTCAAAATATTGTGAAAAAAACTGTATAAAACTGAAAAAATGTAATCGAGTTATTTTATTTAATAAAACCGGTATGTGTTAATACAAAACAAACAAGAACAAGACACTACATACCAAAAAAATATAAAAGAACTATTTTTACTTTCAAGCTTTATGAAACTACCCGCATTTATGATTATATTTATCAATATAACTTATGTAAAAATACAAATTTGTAATATTCCACAGGAATAAATAAACAACATAGGTAAATAAAACAAACTATTTTATTAATAATAACACCTACCAAATTTTATACCTTAAAGGTTGATTAATTAACTTTAATCTTAATTTTTTTAAACCAGTACTTTTGACATTATTTTTCTGCAGTACTAAAATCCATTATTTACCTATCGTGATGTCGATATTTTACAGTTACTCCAGTTTTTAGTATGTGTTTAGTTTGATCCTTCTACCATATATGAGATGCACTTTATCTACGACGAGATGGTATACAAACTTTAACGATGGCAACTTCATTGGTGTATAATACTTTCTGCCTGGGCAGCGAGTATTAACCATAAACTGTGCTCTGGGTCTACAGGTAATTTTCACTCGATTTTTCCTCCACTTGACTTCAAAAGACACAAAACACACGTAATAATACGAATCAAAATGCAGCATCTTCCAAAACGCAGGGTATTTAACAAAAGTTGACACAAAATTATAACCTATAATTTGGCAAGACTTTGACAAGCGTCAAAAATGACAAAAATCTAAAGGCGAGTTCATACGCATCGGCGTCCGTTTGTCGTTCATCGTTCCGTCAAACCAATAAAATTGAAATACGATCTGTCATTTTTGAAATAAACCAATAAAACTGGTTAAAAACAACAAGACACGACGTATGACGGATTTATATTTAAACCCATTCATATATAACTTAAAAATTATTAGAAACTTTTTTTAGTAAAATAAATAGATTGTTATGGGACGTCATCTGCTTTTCTTCTGTCATCGTCTGTCGAAATCTTACCTGAGAACATAGATAAAAGACTTATACTATTAAATAGATAGGCAACTTATAATACATTTCAATTTTATTATACAAGGGCGCCTCTGGTAGACGGAGGAAGAAATACTAATGGAAGAGAGGGGTGCGGGGAAGGGGGGTTGTTTTAGTTAATTTAAAATATATTTAGACATAGATAAGAACACTTTGTGTGCTTTTAATTAGGTCGAACATATTATAAACGATAAATCAACTGAATTAAAAGCATACAAAGTGTTCTTATATGTCGGATATTAATTAAAAAATATATTAAAAATACTAGAAATAGTATATATTAAGTTGTTACAGTTATAATTTAATCTTTGGCGGTTTTCAGCAAATAGCAGGCAGTTTTACATAATTTTCCTCCCTTTGAAGTGAATTGGAAACGGCTAGGTATATAATTTTGGTGTAGGCAAGATTCCCAGTTTGTTTCCGTTTGGGACCTGAAATAATAAAAACAAATTAAATCAGATGTAATCATCTGCTGATCATGCTAATATAATAACGCGCGTCCTTAATTCCTTACATGCACCGTAAAAACAATTAAATAACTGCTCTGCAAGTAGCATTTATTAGCAGTACTAATTTAAAAATCTATAACTGTAAGTAGATATGTTTAATTTACTTTTTACCATTGTATCCTTCGGAAACCAGGTGTACAACAATTAAACTCCATGATAAAAAATAATTAAGAGTTATTACAAAACACAAATTGTCCCACCATTTTTAAAAAACATTGTCTAAAACAGAATACTGGCAAAAAATCTGAAGGAATTTAATTTTACAATAATTCGACAAATCAAAACGAAATCAAACCGTAAAATCACAACAAAAGCGTCTCTGAGTGACAATTAAAAATCAAATTTTATTATTGTCAGATATTGACATTTGCATTGTTAATATTGACAGTTTTAATATTTTGCGCCTCTGCATCTTGGAGGAAAAACTATTTTTAATGAACTGTCATTTCCATTTAAGTTTCCCAGCCATGCCTGAGAAAAAACAGAGTATACATACACTTTAAGTTATTTTAGTAAACGTTCAAAAAAATCGCCGTTGTTTTGAGTTCATAAATGTCTCTTTTTAAAACTGAATTACTAGCTATTCTCACAGACCAGTCGATTTAATTAAACTTCTCCCGTGCTGCCTCTTCGAGTGCCTCTCTTAATTCGTAAGTTCTTTTGTAAACATTGTTGTTAACCATACCGCATAAAAAAAATCTAAAATGGATAGATCAGGTGATCAACGAGGCCCATGCAATTGGTCTACCTCTTCCTATTCCTGAGTTTGCATAATTATGATATATTGTTAAAATAATTTTTAACATTTCTTTCATTATGGGGGGGGGGGTCATAATGAAAGTCATGTTGTAACCACTCTATTGATGCGCGAGTTCTAAATTTAGCTTTTTTTAACATGTTTTGAAAACCGTTCTCTAAAAAACGTAAGTAACATTCAATTCCGGTCAACGTATCCTCAAAAATGTATGGCCAGAAAAGTTGAACCAATAATCCTACACGCTTTTCTTCATTTAAAAAATTCATAGTTGCAATTTTTGTTTATGGATTTAAGTTTGGATGTGACAGATTGACATTTCTGAGAGCAGCGACGATTGAACTTGTTTCCATGGCTAACTAAGTGAAATTGTTTAAAAACGATAAGAATTGGCTATTACTCAGTAATTTTTCGGAAAAAAATATTATAGCTTATATCGCTGAAAAGCTTAAGTTATAGTCAACTATGTACGCCAAAAAAAACATAATATGTTTCTGTCATATGTTAAAAATGACAGACTTTAGAAAAAATCGTTAAAAAAAACATTTATTTCAGCATGAGAAAAAACAATATGGCGATATTATTATATAACTTTTGGTAATATTTGAGGGGTAGTTTCATCTCGTTGGAATTTGACTTTCGAAAAATCCGTTTGCCAAAAATAAGCTTTTTACGTCAAGCAGTTTAAGCAGAATCGTGGTTAAGAAATTACCCAACTTTTTGGAACACCCTGTATGATTTTTTAAAAAATTTCAAATATGTAAAAAAACCAAATAAATTATGCTTGTCCAAGCGTTTTCCCGAAAGACTAACTGTTCTTTAAATAACAAATATTATAATATTTGAGCGGCGTTTTCACCCTCTTGGAATTTGAGATTCGAGAAACCCCTCCTTATCGAACCTCTACACCCCACAGTCAATCCGTTTGCCAAAAATCAACTTTAAGGTTGATTCTTACTATACCTTCCATATTAGCTCCCTTCCGTTTCCCTTCCGTTTACATAAAATATTATATGAAACACCCTGTATAAATTTATACAAAATCTTAAAATATGTAAAACAACAAAATAAAATATACGTGTTTAAGAGTTTTTCCGAAAAACTCACCGGTTTTTAAATAAGAAATATTTTAATATTTGAGGGATAGTTTCACCCCCTTAGAATTCGAGTTTCGAAAAATCCCTTCTTATCGAACCTCTACACCCTAAAGTCAATCTGTTTTCCAAAAATCACCTTTTTACGTCAAGCGCTTTAAGCAGGATCGTGATTAATCAATGACCAGCTTTTTCGAAACACCCTGTATACATTTTTAAAAAATCTTAAAATATGTAAAAAATCAAAATAAATATACGTGTTTAAGCGTTTTTTCGGAAACTTTTTTCGGTAATATTTGAGGGGTGGTTTCCAAACCAAACCAAAATTGAGTTCCTTACGTTGACTGGTTAGCCCGCTAGGGGGCGTTTCTCTAATAGCCAATCAGAAAACAGGGTTTTTCTCAAAAATATGCACGTGAACAGGTATTTTAAATATTACTGTTGTAATCATCGAGAAATTTGTAATTTTTTTGATATAAAGTATTTTGCTGTATCTCATAAAATAAAGTGGTGGGGAAAGGTTAAACTTGCTTTTATTAAAATAAAGATAACTCTGGTTTGGGTTACGCGATTTAAACAAACTAGGGCTCGTTTGAAAGAGCTTTTCTTCCTTAATGATCTCCAGTATAAATTTTGTTTCCACAATTGTTATTGTGGTAGCGAGAGGGCGCTGTTTGACATCATAACAGATATTGCGCTTTTGCGTAAAAAAATAAACAGGAGGCTATATTTCTCTTTACACAGTTAAATAGAGCACAAAATTTCCAAACTATCAGCGCAAACCGCAACTTTCTATCTTCTCTCTAACCGGAGATATTAAGAGAACAAATCATGTTAGGCTGCCGCTTAGGATTATATAGTCTAAAAATTATAGTAGTAGGCTAGGAAATAAAAAGAGGTAAATTGGTTACGTCAAAATATCAAAACATATATTTTAATTTCATTTTAATACCGTTTAATTATTATCTATCCATGTTTCGTTCTTGATTCGACCCCATAAATTAAAACCCAGGCATATTGTATCCGATGACCGAGCTGGCCATGGAAATATGCCGCTCCACCGTCTCTATCTACTGAAGTAAGTGGTATCCAAGAAGCCCCACACATTCATAGCAAAATAAGCGGCACCACTGCCTCAACTACACCAATGGCATTCATGCTGATGAAATTGCAACAAATGCAATTTCATCATGATGGATCCCCTAACAAAATTGGCAAATCATTTCTTAGAAATTATGGATAGTTCATTTCATTCAGATAATTAAAAAAGTCCAATCATTCGCCATCCTAGAATTCCTGCGTAAACATTTACCGACCAATGGTCTTGGTGCTAAACTACTTGCATCAAGGGTAGAATTGGAGCAGTAGTGCATATTGTTAAGATTCGCACCTTCGTTCGGTGCTATATGAAAAGTGACCCAAACGACATAAACTTTATAATATAATAATAAATAACACAAACAAGAGGTAAAACACGAAAACAAGTGAAATCAAGGACGAACTTGGATTAATAACTAAATGACGTTATATGAATAAACCCCTAGTTTTCGACCATACGAAATTCGGCGGTTTTTTCTGTTAAAAACAATATGGCGGTACAAAACTCCTAGAAATTTTAATAAAATTATTGATTCTCCGACTTTGGGACAATGTAATCTGAATCTACCTACGTATAATTAACCAAGAAATTCGTAAAAATTATATGGATGGATGATAATGTTACATCAATACGTTTAAATAATTATGACGTCATTTTTTTAAGAAAACGCCCGAAATTCGGATGCATGAAAACTGAACTTAAACGTTTTGATATTTTGACGTAACCAATTTACCTTTTTTTGTTTCCTAGCCTACTACTATAATTTTTAGACCATATAATCCTAAGCGGCAGCCTAACATGATTTGTTCTCTTAATATCTCCGGTTAAAGAGAAGATAGAAAGTTGCGGTTTGCGCTGATATTTTGGAAATTGTGTGCTCTATTTAACTGTGCAAAGAGAAATATAGCCTCCTATTTAATTTTTTTACGCAAAAGCGCAATATCTGTTATGATGTCAAACAGCGCCCTCTAGCTACCACGAAAAAAATTGTGTAAACAAAATTTATACTGGAGATCATTAAGGAAGAAAAGCTCTTTTCAACGAGCCCTAGTTTGTTTAAATCGCGCAACCCAAACGAGAGTTATTCTTATTTTAGTAAAAGCAAGTTTAACCTTCCCTCACCACTTTATTTTATGAGATAGAGCAAAATACTCAAAAATTACAAATTTATCGATGATTACAATAGTAATATTTAAAATACCTGTCCACCTGCATATTTTTGAGAAAAACCCTGTTTTCTGATTGGCTATTAGAGAAACGCCCCCTAGCGGGCATTTTTCGAACTTGAAAGTAATTTCCAGTGATTTCTCTTGATCGATTTACCTATTAGAATTTTTTTCCCAAAGTTATTCGATAAGTAGTTTCTGAGATACAGCCGGCGTCCATTCTTAATTGGCCACCCGATACAATTTTTAAAATAACCAAAATTTGTTTTTTTTTAAATATCTAGTAAGCCATGGACTTTTTCAAAAATCTGAAAAGCGCATATACAAATCTCACGATATCTCACCAAGGAGGGAGGGAGGAGGGGGGGTTTCAAAAAATCCTCAAAAATGCCTAACGTAAGTAGCATTTTATGGACGCTCCCTAACATCTCTGTTATAGTTATTTATGTTTTTTTATTATTTTGTTTTTTTTATATAAATTTATCATTAGTCTAAGAAGGGGAATAAATTACTCGTAATATGAACTGAATTAAATATATTTAGGTTAATCTCCGGGATAAATCGGTATTAGTGACTTATAACCCCACTATAACATCTACTAAAGAAATATGCAAATGGATTGATGACGTAGGTTTTGAGGCAGTGCTTCCAAATTTAGATAGTCAGCAGAACAAATTAAGTGAATGTATAGTACATATAGATGGAATGACCTGTAATAGTTGTGTAAAAAGTATACAAGGTAAATTTTATAAAATTTTTTAATAGAGAGTCCCTTATTCTTACAAATGTTTTGAAGGTATGCTTTCAACTAAAGAAGGTATTAAGGTAGTTAAAGTGGACTTGGCCAGAAAAGAAGGCTTTATTCAATATTTACCTGAAAAAGTAACACCATTAGATATAGTACAGCAAATAGAGGACATGGGTTTTGAATGTTATATAAAAAGTGTAAATCGAAAACACGTTGACAGAAAAGGTTTTTTAGTTAAAGTAGTTAAAGATAATTTTATACTAAAGATTTTTTTAGATAAATCGCATATGCCTAATGGAGTTGTCAACAAATCTAGTACATCATATGACCCACAGGTTAATTTAGAAAAATGTCAAATTCAAATTAAAGGAATGACTTGCGGTTCGTGTGTAGCGGCGATAGAAAAGCATGCAAATAAAATCCCAGGTCTGTACTAGTTGAAATTTAAGATAATGATTTTTTTTATACATATAAGTTTTGTAGGATTGCATAAGATCTTAGTTTCTCTGCTTGCTGCGCGAGCTGAAGTACACTACGATGCAACGGTGGTTTCTCCTTCGGATATAGCTCAGTCAATATCAGATTTAGGGTTTCCTTCGCAAGTATTGGTGCAAACAGGAGCAGGTACGACTGAAGTAAGTGGTGCATACTTGGCTATGTCTAGATATTGTTATCACAATGTTAGAACCAATCAGTAAGAAAAATATGGAAGGAGAGTGTCAAATATTATTTTTATATTTATACATTAGAGATGGACGCTACATTATAACTAAAAAACAATTATTGAAGTGAAACTTCTTTACGCGCGATGGGAGTAAAAATTGAAGGCCGCGAGTCGGCCTTGATTGACGACTGCGGGATGGGATGACCTCATATGACGCGAAGGTCATGCGAAGAATCAGATCAAAAAAGTAATTGTTGAGAGGAGAGATGCCTTATTTTGATTATTTTATAGGGTTATGACACAGGTTATGGTTGAGAATTGCTAGCAAAATATTTATTATCTATTAACATGGATTTGAACGATAATAGGTAAGAACACTAAATTGATTTGAATAACGCTAAACATTTGCCTATAAAGTAATGTCGCTATCTTAATTTCTATGAAAATGTGACATCTGGTTTTTCCCATGTAGTCTTCAAATGGTCTAAAAATCAGCAGGAATGACCCATTATGCAGTAAAGAAACTATTGTTGAATCATTAGTAGGTCTTTTGTGGGTATTTCACAAATAAAATCAATTGTCTCATCAAAAACTGAAATTGCAAAACAGATAGTAAGCTTTATAAATATTTATACAAATAACCATACTTACGTCTATTTATGTCTTACAATCCAACCATATTTTAACCAATATTTTAATGTCCTAGCCCAAGTAAATAATCAAAAATGCACTTTTTATATCAAGAATAGTAATGGGTATACCCAGTTTCCAAGGATTTCAATAAATCTTTAATATTCAGGATTCAAAAAACACGATTCTTGATTTGAGGTTAGGTCATTCACACAAAACATCCCCCTTTAGAACTTCGTCTGTCATGTTAAGAAATGAAAGTAGGGGAAGTTTACCTAAAATGGGATACTGTGGTAAAACGGGATACCCTTATTATTTTGTAGTACATGCAGCGCCATCTATTGTGCAATTCACCTAATAGTTTCTGTTAGTGTGTGAGTAACCTTTAGCAGTTTGACTAAAATCGTAGCTGGTGCAATGACGCTAGGTGAGTTTTTAAGTTTTTAACACATTTCTTGTAAAAATTTAGATCTACAAACATAAGTTTTTTGTCTTTATGGTCAATGAGATGGCAGCGATACTTAGATTAACAATAAAAATAGATAGAGCAAGTCATTCATAAATTCACAAAAACGAGGTGCCTACATCGTTTTATCGGTTAGTGCCCCCACTACCCTAGTTTATTGACAGCGGGGTAAAGAGGAAAGTGGTAGGGAAATTCGAAGCAGAAGAGCATCAAAACAGAATTTATCCTTGAGATTTCATTGATGAGTAAAAGCTGGTAAAAGCCAGAGATATAGAAGTAGGTGGTTAGAGGCATAGATAAAATATTTTTTTAATAATAAATTTTAAAAATGTGTTTATGCAATAAAACTAATAAATTATTATAAATACATAATATATGCTATAAAATATTTAACAAACACTATAAAAAATGTGTTTATTAAATATTCAATAATTAAAAGTTAGATATAATGAAAAGATATTATACGTATTATCGTATAGTGATTGATAAACTAAAATGTTAATGGATCTATTATATAAGATGTTTTGTTATTTAGATAATATTAATTACAAAAGAAAAGTAGATACATGTGAACAACTAATTTTTATATTGAATATCAGTAGATATTATTTACATTAATAATATAATTAATATAATGTATAATTAAAAAGCACAAAATTCATCTTTTCTGTTAGCATGGAGCTTTGAGACCAGTTATACCATAATAAACAACGATAGGTTACCTATACCGTAAAATATATTCGGTAATTTTAATTGGAAATACTAGCACAAGACTAAAAAAAAATGTTCTGTAGTTTTAAAATTCATTTATTTCATATGATTCTGGGCTAAAAACTCATGACAAAATAAATTCTTGTTATGACTAATATTTTGACCAAACGAATTCTCAATGTAAGGATATTTGCATACCATATAATTTTACATTAATTAGGTATTAATCATTAAAATCAATTAAAACACAAGTGTTGTATTTTAATAATATATTTAGGGACTAAGTAAAAAATATATGTATAATATTCTTACTACATTTACAATTTGTACAGGTTCATATTAAATAAAATATTGTAGCCTGAAAAAATATATATTTTGTTAAATGCCACTGTAAGGATCCAAGCAGAAACCAATTTCTCATTGGCTTTTTATGTTAAAATATTTGCATAACAAATAACATAGTTATAGCAAATAATCTAAAAAAAACGGCGTGAAAGACGGCTGGGGAATGACGGTTGATAATTTATTAATCTTAAACTACACCATTTAAAAATCATTTTTATTTAATATAAAAATAAATTACAACCTTAGAGCGCCTTTAAAAAATAGCACGAGCCAAGAAAATGACGCCTAGGGCTTGACCTCGCTGAAATTATCATATTGTCATTCCCCAGTCGCCTTTGGCGCCGTTTTTTTTTCGATCGTATGGTTTATTAAGTTATTGCTACTAATAACTACTAACTTATTACATAATTATTAAATATTACATTAATTAGTATATACAATAATTAGTATACATAATAAGTTTCTAGTTTTATAAAATATAAATAATAAGACATAAATAAAAAAAACGGCGTCCAGTTGGCTTGGAAATGACGATCAGTGACATTCCCCATATAATTTTACATATAAAATAACAGCGATCTTCATTTTATAGCCATGGTTGACGCCGATTTTTTTTGATAATGTTGTCGAATTAAAGAAATATATGTTTTCAAAAAGTACAATATTATAATATTTTACAAAGTGTAGAGCTGAAGCATAATTATCTTAACCAAAAATTAATAATGAAAACATAAAATAGAAAGTGATTTTCTTTTTAAATTCTCTAATATATTATTGTAGATATTTATAATATGAAGCGTCATTTCTTTGTAGGTATCTGATATTATATCTACCCGATATTGAATATGACTTGAGTCCTGTACTATGCCATGATTAAATATGCAAAACTCAAAAATATATTGATTTTTATACACAAACAGAGAGAATCTAGAATATGCGATTCTAATCACTATCATAACTTGTCTCTCAACAAAAGTATTTCTGTAGCTCTCCCTAGGGTTTACATCTTTCACTATCCTGCATAGTAGCATTACGTCGATTTTAAATGTGATGTAAAGGACCAATTTCATATGCACTATGTAATTAAAGTAACGACTTCCACACCATGAATATCTTCACTTCCTAAAACAAAATATAAACATGAAGTTGGTGAATATAAATATCTACATTGAGTATACATTGAGAGCAAAATAAAAATAAAATTGACAATCAATGACATTCACCATATAAATTTACAATTTATAAAATGACATAAATCTTGCTTTCAAAGCCAACCCTAACGCTTTTTTTTCGATGGTGAGATCTTATACAACTATTGTGTAATTTTAGTAAAATAATATTAATATAATATATACAAATCTATATATAGCGTGGCGCCTCTCATAGGACGCGAAGGCTTCAAGGGAAATGAAAGTGAATTTGTATGACTTCGGGTAGCTGCAACGACGTCCCGTAATCCTGCTGTTAAAACAAAACAATTGGTGTTTATATATAAAAACCAGCTGATATGTTTTAACCGCAGGATTACGGGAGGTCGTTGCAGCCACCCTTAACTTGATTGACTTCTGAACCCTCCATATGTTCTCAAAATTTCATTTCAATACAAACTTCCAACAACAAAAATCCTTGAAACCTCCATATCGTATGAAAGGCACCACCCTGTACACTTTGAATCTGTGTATACATATTAGTATATAGTAATATTTTTATTAAAAAAATAAACTGTAAATATATATGTACTTACATATTATGACGCAATAGGTATGCTAACAAGATCATACTTCTTATCTAGTTATCTGCAGGATCCTAATATCTTAATGTTAATTTCCTAGGTGATGTTAAAACAGTTGCAACACCATAAATCGCGACATAAATGGCTGTGAAAATTAATCAGTTTTTAAATATTTTCTTCAATTCCTTATACAATAATCAGCTGTTTTTGAACTCTCTTTTGCTCGACTTTTTAATATCATGCTATGAATAAATCCTAACAGAGAAAACCATTTAATTTTTCTCTCACTATCTTTTAGAAATCTGAAATAAAATATTTATCTTAGTAATACAAAACGTAAATAGGCATTATTTTTTTATAAATGTAAACATACCAATTATAATTTATGTAAACATACCAATTATTTGAATTCGTAATTAAATACAACTATACGATTTTGATTCGGACAATATTGTAACAAAAATATAAACATTACTTCTTATAATATACATAATATATTATATTATAAAAGAAATATTAACAAATGGGTAAATAAAAGGAAATGCTGCATTACCACAGAACAGTACTTACTTTTGAAATGACACTCCACGATATTTAAATTCTTTAATTCTTACACATTTCCCAGTGTAGACCCATTTTAAATGCTAATTTTGTTCCTTTATATAAATTGAAACAATTATACACTAATAGTTTATTAATAGTTAAGAAATATGGAAAAATAAAAGCTGATTTTGCCAATCAGCTTTTTATTGACACTGTTGACCACGTCCAATTCCCCTACTATAGAAAATACTATAACAACAGAGCGGCGTTGCCAGATTAAAAATTAATCCAACCGGTTGATATAAAAATGACGAAATTTATAAATATTTCTTGTAATCTTTGATTTGAATCTTATTAACTACTAAATAAAATTATAAATATCGAAATTTTCAAACGTAGTAAGCTAATTATATTATTATTTTCTTAAGATTTCCCCAAAGTATACGTATACAAACAACAAAACAAAATTAAAAATAAACAAATGCTTTGACAAATCTTCGATAGACTTGGCAACATAACAAACAATAACAATAGGATGTTGGCA